TTAATATAAATGACTTCCAAGGAATGTTTCCCAGCGCAAGCTATTGTTGACCTACTTTAGACTGACTGAGCTAATTCATCAGGTAAGATACTTAATGGAATTCAAAGCGATTTCTAAAATAAACCATGCATCTGAAATTTCTGTTGAAATCCTAAGTTGGTATTCCCAGTTCTATCAGATGGTACGTTATTACTGTGCAATGAGTCAAGTGCCTTATGTTTGTCTTACTTAAAAGTCATTCTTTTTCTTTATAAATTTCATTTGGCAGAATGCATCTGAGTCTTTTTAATGAGCAAATGTGCCAGTTGTGACTGTTTTCAGTCTAGATAGAACGAGGGGCAATCTTAGTCTCTTCTGCTTCTCTGACCTCTTCCTCACAAACAGGCACACACAACCTTTACAGAGGTGTTTCAGTTGTCTTTCAATTTCATTTTCATTTAAATAAAGGTGGCTCTGTTGTGACAATGAGGTGTGGATTATTTATCTTGAAAACTTTAACTCCCCCTTTTGGAAGTTTAATCCTTCCTTACATTTAAGTAAATATCTCTAAGTGAAGGATCTTTTGTAACAACTGTCTGTCTTTCTTGGTAAGAAAACCTGACCATTTTCTGCTTTTTAATAACCTTGATGTTTCCATAAGATGAAAAGGGCAATGGGAAACCTTAAAATGAAATCACTGAATATAAACTAGGTCTTGGACTAATAAGTCATATATATTCTCAAAATAAAAGCATTAAATTTTACGTCATTAGTATCGTGGCTTATTATATGTGCTGCTGAAGAGAGAATAGTATCATGGCTTATTAATACCATCTTCTAATTATTACCTTTTCCTTCTTTAACTTTCTTCTTTCTCTTTTATTTTGTTTGCTCTTCTCCAATGTGACTTGCCGCGCTACTCAAACTCCATTCTAGTAAATCACCATTGACTGTGTACTGGCTTTTAAAATCTAACAAATATGTACCTTCATTTTAGAGGTAACATTTTCTAAATCTTTGAATAAATACCCTTAGCCCTTGTGGCAAAATCTGAAATATTAATTTCTTGGGCCAGGGTTAAAGAAAGGCCAAGAATTAATTTTCCATTCTGTGTCATATTTGAAATGCAATAACATTATTTCTTATTAGTATTTATTTGCGTTGTGTTACTGTATCATAACGCAGGATTCAGGAGAGTTGTATGTATTAAATTACAGTTTAGTTGGTGTCAAGTTAAAAAGCAGAACCGTGAGCTGTTCTCTTCGTTACCACTTGTCCTATGCAGCATTTATGTTTACGAGAGGATCGGGCAAGGCTTCATTCAAAGTTACCAGTGTTCGAAAGCCTGGCACAGTCAAAGAAAGGTCTGCTGACTCGTGCTATAGTCAGATCCCTTCTCTGTTGCTTCCTCTCTTACTTTATAGCCTCTAATTCCATGCCTGTTTAATTTCATTTATTGCTTTGTTCTTGGATCCTTCAGCTGTTTACAATCTACCTCTCATGTCTATGACTAAACATAATATGCTAACATGCAAAACTATTTGTGTAAATGAGAAATCAATGAATTCATCGTTTCAGCACCATTCTTTGTTGCTTACAATGGATATTTTAAATGCATTTTATTTAAATGCTGACAACTTTTCATTCTCGTCTGAGAAGAATAATGAACTTCTTGGCTCCCTGCCTTCACAGCCCTCTAATCTTCACAGCTATGGCCACTTAGCCCCCATCTGGAGGTTCAGACTTATTCCAGCTTTGGGAACAAATCTTGTCCCAGGGCTGGGACACACAAGAGATCCCAGCCAACAGATGACGATTCAGCATCCAGTAGCCTTGCTGCTGGTTTCATTTTGACCTTGAAACTTATTTCTCTATTTAGGGTATGCATCTGCCCATCCCAGTTAACCAAGCCTCTACCCGTTCCACTAAGGGGTATCCACCCACTCAGTGTGCAGTCTTTCCTCCTGCAGACTGTGACTCCTTCCCTGGTCCACACTTCCTGTCTCCACTACTGAACTCCTGCCTTGTCCTTCTCCTGTCTCCTTCGTGCCTGAAATTTTTCTGAATGCCACGTGCTGTGACTGGGTTCCAGGGATAACAGGTCCTACTCAAACTCTGCGAACTGCCTCTGCACTGAGGATCTGAACTTTTGCAAGAAAACCAAAAGTAACACTCTGCTCGCTTGGCCAGTTGCCCACCGTCTGCTGCAAGCAACTCCCTGGTCACCAGCTCTGACCTGCAGGTCTTTAGAGTCACTGTGTGTGCACTGCCTACAATCTGGCCATCTCACTATTCCAGACCTGACAGTGAAGAGATGCAATTTTAACCCATCTTTGGTTGAACTGTCATGCTCACATGCTCTCCTTACTTTCTCCTTATATTTTCATCTTGCCTCTGCCACCAAAACATTTCAAAACTGTCCTCTCTGTAAAGTAAAATAATGGTAGCATCTACCTGCTATGGATCTTATAAAGATAACTGAGAAAATGCATCCAAATGAGGATTGTGCATGGTAAGCGACCAATACATTTTCCACTGATATCATCATCTCATGCCTTAAATCTTTGTGTTTGGAAAGTAGAACCTTGTTGCCTTAAAAATGATCATTAAAAAGATGAGAAACTGGGGAAATTCTTTATAAAAGTGAGAGAGACATGAAATATGTTTTAAGTAAAATAATTCACAGCAAGAAAATAAACAGCTTAAAAAATGATGTCAAACTACAGATGCAGATGGAGATTGAGTTGGTCCTTTGCTTAGAGCAGTATTTCCATGATCATTTTTGGAGTTTTAGAGAAGTGAAATTTTAAGGTCCTCCCTTCTCCAAAATTCTGATTCATTAAGTTTGGGATACAACAAAAACTTAAGTTTAGAAAATCCCCAAGGTAATTCTGAGAATCTTCCACCATCGAAAACCATGAATTCATGGTTCTTAGATGCCTAAGATGTTCTTAAGTAAAACGCACCTCTTTATCTCAAGATGGTCCGGCCACCTTGGCTTCTAGTTGCCCATCCGTTAAGTGTATGAAAGGGATGGGCAATCTATCGTGCCTGCTCTTAACGACAGATGGCTGTCCCAGCTGGCCCTCTGGTGACAGTGCTTAGCTGGAGTGCCCAGGCTGCCAGGGTGGAATCTTCACCTTCACCCACATGAAACATAATCTGAAAGTGCTGATTGTTTCTCTCCTGCCACGGAAGTCTGATCAAATGATTGTTAACTGCTTCAGATAAAGAATGATTGCGTACTGAGGAAAATAAAGAGAAGCCAGTTGTTTCCGTGAGAGATGAGTGTGAAAGAGAAAGAAGAGTAGGAGGGAGAGAGAGAGAAGGAGGAGGAGAAAGATAAGGAAGAAGAGAAAGAGGAAGCTTGCAGAAGGGCAGGAAAGACAAATCAATTCTTTTCACTGTTATGCCATAAAAAACTTGTTCTGAGCTTTGCATTTTTCACGTACCTATCTGATCAGGCAGGACCTAAATACATGGAGTCCACAGAAGGCAAACAACTTGTTGTCCACTTAAAAGAATGAGTACTGACCATTATTTGTTCTACACGGCTTTATCAGAGCCGCTGGATGACGCTGAGCCTAGGCAGCAGCCCATGAGAGTCCTGCCCACGCAGCCAAGCGTGTCACCGCACCGTCCTTAAGAAAATCCTCTGTGGTCACCACAACCGTCTTAGAAATCACGTTCACAGCTGCTATGGCCTGGATGCCTGTGTCACTTCATGTGCTGAGATTCTAACCCCGAAGTTAGCGTAGGAAGAAGTGATTAGGTCTTGGGAGGTGGGCAGTCTGAGTGGGGCCAGTGCCCTGGGGGAGAACGGCCCAGAGAGCTCCCGTCTCCTCTACCAAGTGCAGTCACAGTGGGGAGAAGGCTGCATATCAGAATGTGAGACCCCACCAGACACAAATCCAACGCCGCCCGATCTTGAAATACATCTCTTGCTTATCAGTTACCTGGTTCGTGTCATTTAATTATAGCAGCCTGATAGCAGATATAGATAGCGACCGTGCCCTGCTTCTCGAATGATGTTTCTTGAGAGATACTCACTGAGTAAATACGGTTCTCCCCTCCACGGCTCAGTATGGGCAGCTGTGTAGGAGGCGGCTCAGTGGTACAGTATTTCTGTGCACCTTGTCAGTTTCCACCTGGACAGCTGCCTGCTGGCCCACCTCTGATTCCAGCCCCCGAAATGCTTTACTGCTATTATAGTGCTCAGCTCTCCCCCTTGGGAACTCAGGAGAAAATAAAAATGCCAACGGTGTCTTCTTTAGAGAATGGTTGACGGCATAAAAGGAATGAATCACTGTTGTTATTTTTTTTTTTGTTTGCAAGACTGAACTAAAAATAGCATCTTACCAGACATCCTCAGCATCTTCGTCGCATTCTGCACCAAACTGGCAAATGTCACAGGTGGATGTCTCTTTTTGACTGGTTTCTCCAGAGCCTTCATGGACTGCAGGACAGAGAAGTAAAGGGAAGAATCGCAGATAAGTGCATAATGTCTACTACTCTGCAATGGTTGTCAGTGCTTTTCAATCTCTGTGTTTCCTTAGTACGGATTTGTACAACGTGATGATCACACTCCCGTGTAGAATGGGTACATGTTCAGAACAATCTTAGCTCCTTTTCCAACCCCTTCTCTCTACCTCCCTCCTCTGCCTTCCCTAGCTTGGTTCCTTTACCATCTGCAGATGATCCCTCTCCCTACTTCCTACTATCTGCCTTTGATTTTGCTATTTATTTATATTTTTGTTTCTCCTATAAGAGAATCTATGCCATATTTAAGCTTATGTGTCTGATTTATTTCACTTAACAATTTGGTTGCAAGGTGTTGCTCCTCTTCAATGGCTTTGTTTGCCTCACAAGAATGTCACATTCACATCTTTCCTTTCCTATTTTAAGGACAACTCTAGCAATGCTATGACACTCATTGGCATCCAGTGAACACTTACTTGTGTTCTAGACAAATACATATGCAGAGGAATTTTATTTTTAAAATATTCATTCAGTCACTGATGATTATTGATATGGGACCTTTCTTTCCCTCTAGAGTATAGGTTCAAAAACAGGCAAAATGCAACCTAATTATAAACTCAGGACATGATGCTGTAAATTAAGAAAAAAAACCCTATTATTATGAGTACAAGGAATGAGCAACACTTTTGGATCACTATTTTCCCAAATAAAAATATACATGTGTTTGAAAGAAGCAGTAGCTTTACTTGAAAATGAAAAATCACAGCAACCATGGGCAGATCATATGTATGTTCAAAAAAGTCTTTCAAAAGTATAATTTTGCAAAAGACCACATATTTTCAATAGAGGAAGAACATGCTCATTTCCTTTTTTTGACCTCTCGTCAAATACTTTTAACAAAAATTGTTTCATCAAAATGCATGCAAACCTGTCAAAGTCTAATCTTATTTATCATATTTTGTCATTGCTTCTTTGCCCCCTAACAAAATAAGATCTTGTTTCCTTGATTTTAATTTTTTTCTGTATAGATAAGTGACTTTTAGTCCAAAAAAATTTTAAAAAGGAAGGAATAACACGACATCTCTAGAATATTCTGTTACTACTCTTACAAGGAAGGTAGATTTACACATTCTAAAACTCAACATTTTTTCTTATCCTTGACCATCTGCACGTACATGATGTAGTATTTTTCTTTGTGTGCTTGATAATCTTAACCTATGTCTAAGTTACAAACCGCAAAGGTCAATTTTAATTGGGAAAGCACTGGCACAGTTTTCAGCTTGGATGTCTTGAAGGAAGTGCTCCTTTCCCACAAAAAGAAGAATGTTAGTCTGTAAGGTACACAGCATTTATGCCACCTACTCTGCTACTCCTCCACCTGGGCAAGATCATTAGACCACGGGAGCAGAGGTGGCTGGAGTCCACCTCAGGGGACAATGCACAGCTGCAGCTGCTGTCTTTATTACTTTCTTATTATTAATGCAACACACAGCAGCCAATGAGAGAGAGCTTTTCAGTGTTAGCAAGGTTAACAAGTCCAGGAGAAATCTTCCTGTCGCTCAGGTAAAGATGCCACTGGGGGAAGGTCCTTAATGTCCAGTGATAACCACTCAGCAGTAGGTTCATTTTCCTCAGCCAGGAGATCCTAGTTAGGGATCTACTGGAAGGAATCCAGGGATGAATTTCGCCAGCTCAGCAAGTCTACTCATATTTCTACTCGAACTCACATTGCATTTCTGTAAGTGGGCAGTTACTGGTAGGAAGATGTTTGGAAATTTTCCCAGAAGGAGAAGTGAATTCAGAAGAAGCTGTAGCAATAACCCTGTCCATAAATATTCTGGGAATAAAATACTTTTATATGAAGCCATCCATAATGAAAAATAAAATCTTTCCCTATTACCTGAAGCCCGAGTTTTCACTTTCATAATTAACAACACAATCACGCTAGTGCACAACTTTAATTTAAGTCCATAGACCAATGGTTCTTAAGTAGGATCAAGCTTACAAGCTCTGGTAGATTTGGTTCATCTATTTGAGTCTTAAAAAATGTCAACACTCTGCAATATACTAGAATTTTGTGGCTTTGCTTGGGGATTGGATGAGCATATTCTTAACAAACAAACAAACAAACAACAACCAAAAACTAGATCATCCCTGAGCAAGAATCTCTGCCCAGAACAATCGCAAGATTTTATCCGTCCCACGTTCCCTCCTCATGCACGTCTGCCACAGAGTTTCTAACACAGTAACGCACACAGGATGCAGCTAGAGGTGCTGTTAAAATGCAGCTTGATTCAGTAGCTGCGCGGCGTGGCCGGGGGTCTGCATTTCTTGCAAAACACCAACGTTGCTGCTGCTGCTGGCAACAAGTGGTGTTGTACAGGGAAGGACAGCGCCCCGTTTGCCACCCACAGTTCCCTCTTCCCTCCCCAGCACCGGGTTGTGATCTGAGTTCTTGTAGATATAAAATAGACTACTAGGCTCGACCAGCAAATGTCAGCGTGCATCTTATTTACAGGCCTACAGTTTTTAAAAGTAACACTGCTTTAGCTATGCACACGTATGTACATATAGGGTTGCGATAAAAATTGCAATTCTTACTAAAAGCCACAGCAACAAAAGCTTGAAACCCATTAATTGAGTATGGTGCATGTTCAGTAAATGTGAGGTGAAGTGGGTCGTTTCTCTTTTGTCTTTCTGCACTACCAGGAATGAGAAGGATCAGGGCTTAATTATTAGTATTCGTATCCTGATTATACAGGAATAAAATCCACTTATCTTAAAGTATTATCTTAACCATGGATTTGCATTTTAATCTCTTTATTTTGAGCTGTGAACTGAAAGATTCATTCCTTTTTGTTTTATAGAATCAGGCTGTAACAAGTGATTGAAGAGAATTTGAGGGCTAAGAGAGGTTGAGCTACTAAAACAGTATTTTCATGTGCTGTGCTTTAGTTAAAATGGATTCGTTCCTTTCATGAAGACTTGCAATTGAGGGTAACACAAAGGATGAAGTTACCCCTTTCTCAAATCTGCCCACCCTGGTAGTTTCACGTGAAGGTTGCTGAAGTCCCCTCAGCCCACTCGGTTGTGGCCCATTGCAAGTGTTCACACTCCTCCCAAAGACACTACCGTATGTGCACCCAACCGTCTCTGCGTCCCTCACTATCAGACCCTCCAACTCTCTTGTAATACTGTGTTTAATTTTTCTTTTTATTGATACATGTTTGCAGTATGCAGTGATTGTTTTCTCTCGGGGACTGGTACATGTGTATAACACGTCTTGATTCCTTTTACCCCCTTGCCTCCTATCCCTACCCTTGACCTCCAGCTCATAATAGTTAAATCTTGGGAATGGCCTATGAGCCCAGCAACAGATGAACGGATAAAGAAATGGTGGTATTTATACATGATGGAGCACCACTGTGCCATAAAGAAGGATGAACTTGAGTCATTTGTAGGAAAACGGATGTGCTTGAGACATCAGTGCTATGCGAAATAAATCAGACACAGGAGCTTAAATATCGTAACATTTCTCTCATATAAGAAACTGAAAATAAAAGGAAAGAGCAAAATAAAAGATAATAAAAAAGACATTTGGTTTGATCTTAACAGATCATTCTAGGCAATCCCAGTGACAGACTCAGTGGCATGGCAATCGTGTCTTCTGACAAGGCCGTCCTGCTCTGTGACATCTAAACTGTGGGCACTACTAGAGATCCCGTGTAATTTCTCAAGTCCAGCGGAGGAAGCAGACACAAGTATCAGTTACCAAGCACACACGACTGGGGTCCTATCCCTCTCTTAACATGTTTCTAGAACATGGGTGACATGTAATGTTTAAACACACAACTATCCAATGTCACTCATTTTGTGAACTGCTCAGTCAAAACCAATGTTCAGTGAAATACTTAGATCTTAACTGTACTTTTCAATCAGTTTTGAGGAATGCATGTCAAGACACACAAAACAACTCTGTGACTTCAGAATATCTCAGTCTGCTCCTACCCATCACTACATTGACCTACACCTACTCTGTATGTTAGCAGATCAGTGGTCTGTTCTCCATGGCCAAAGCCTAGTTTTAACTCTTCTAGAATATAATACTCATGGAATCCTACCATACCCAATTTTTGTTTTGAGCTTCAGCTTATGGATCAATAGTTTAAATCTTTTCAATGGTTATTATTTCATTAAATAAAATACCACTGTTTATGTGTCCATTCTCATACTGAAGTATATTTGGGTTATTTCTAGTGATTTCCTGGAAATTATAATTGGACTACACATGTAGCTCCATATTTAGATGGTAGAGGGAGAGTTTAGCATATGTAAGGACTTGGGTTCAATCCCCAGCAACAAAAAACAAAAACAAAAGTAAACATAACCAATAATAAAAATAAAAGAAATTATTGTTTACTCACGAATAATGCAGCTGTAAATACTCTTGTAAAAGAAGTTTGTGCACACGTTTTAATTCTCTTGGTGAGCTATCTGGCAGGAATACTGAGTCTCAAACATAATTGTTATTTGTATTTTTTGCTTTTTTGCTTTTAGTTCTCAGCCAAAGAGAGTTTTACTAGTTTTTTTTAATTTAAATTTTTACCAGATGTGTATCTTGTGATATTTGTCATAGTCCATTTTGTTGATGGTGCTTTTTGTCCAAATGAGCAAAAGTTTTTATTTTGATGAAGTTGTTTTCTTTTAAGATTTTTATTTGTGCCATGTCTATGAAGCCATCAATTCAGTCATAAAAATATCCTGTTCTCTTCATGCCTCTATTTTTATAAATTTAAATTGTTTTGCACTCACTTATCTTTTATATCAAGTTAGTTTTCTTGGAAAATGTGACGATTAAGAATGTTTGCTTTTTCCTGATTATTTTTCTCTCTTGATCTGTAAATATGGTGAAATGCATTGATTTTCATATGTCACACCAACCTTGAATTCTGGGGAAATATCTAACCCGATCATGGT